TTTTTTTTTCTTTTTTTTAATTCTCACCCGAGGATGTTTTTCCAATAATTTTTAGAGAGAGTGGAAGGGAGAGGGAAAGGCAGAGAGAAATATCAATGTGAGAAAAACACATCGATTTGTTGCCTCCTGCACGAGCCTCAAGCAGGGCCCAGGCCAGGGAAGAGCCTGCAACCGAGGTATGTGCCCTTGACCAGAATTGAACCCAGAACCCCTTGGTCCACAGGCCAATGCTCTATCCACTGAGTAAAACCAGCTAGGGCTATTTTTTTTTCTTAAAAAATTTTTAGTATTGACATTATTGCAGGAAGTACCCCGACCGGCCCCCCACCCCCTTTGCCCACTTCCACCCTCCTCCACCTACACCTTTCTTGGCCTTTACCAAAATATTGTCTGTGTCCATGGGGTATGCACATATGTTCTTTTATGAAATTGTGAATTCCCACTTGAGAAGCAATATGATGAATTGGGACCTGAATTGTCATCTTGGCCAGTTCCTTTCTTCTCTGCACCTGCATTTCTTTCTTTTTTCAGAGTGGTTTTATATTTTTATTTTATTTTACTTATTTCATACACCTCTACTTCTTAATGAGGGAGGAGTAAACCCCCACTATAATAGTGAAAAGAGGATTAAAAGAGAGAATTTGCATTGATTCAGCTAATATCTCAAGAAGTCAATAAATGCTAATGCTATTTTTTTATATAAAAATAAGGCAGTCTGGGAGTGGTCTAAGCATTTTGCATGGGTCTTGTACTTCATCCCTTATGAAATACCTTTTTTTTGTATAAACATTAATTGGAGTGCTGGCTGGGTGGGGGGCTGTTCTTTCAAATAGGCATTGTTCTTTCAAAGTCAACCTACAAATTTGTGTTTTCTGTTTTTTGTGGCTGTCAGGATATTAGACTGTTTCAAGTCTGTGGTAACTTAAAAGGAATGCAAAATGCCCAGAGGAGTGAAGGTAATTTCAGAGCAAGTTCCCTCACAGGTTTGTCTTTGTCCAGAATTACCTGGAGAAGTTCTACCAGTTACCCAAGGACATCTATCAGTCTGAAAGGAAGAGCAGTGCCAGTGTGATTGTTGAAAAGCTTAAGGAAATGCAGCAATTCTTCGGGTTGACCGTGACGGGGAAGCCCAATGCGGAAACTCTGGAGATGATGCAAAAGCCTCGCTGTGGCGTGCCCGACACTGGTGAATTTATGTTGACCCCAGGATACCCCAGGTGGAAACACACTAACCTGACCTACAGGTGCTATTCCAGGGGTTTCAGAACGTCCTCATGCATCCTGTTGTTATTGAGCATGTATAATGTGGCAGGTGCTGTCCTAGGACTTGAGATACACCAGAGACAAGCAAATAAATATCGCTGCCCTTGTAGAGTTTTAGATGCTAATGAATGAGTATGAAAGGGTAAAGATCTCTTCATTCCAAAGCCTGCCATTTGTTACTTCCTTCTAATAATCTAAAGAGGACTATGTCAATGTCAATGTATAAGAACTCACTTTAGGATTTAAAAAAGAAGAAGGCTTAATCATTGCTGGAGAGAAACTGGCCCCGCCTTCCATTCATCTAATAATAATAATAATAATACTCAATATTTGTTCAATGCTACTATTTTCCAAATACTGAACTAAATGCTTTACATGTATTTAGCCCCCCATATCAACTCTATGACATGGGTATTATTTTATTATCCTCATTTTATAAATAAAGAAGCTAAATTTAAAAAGATGTAATGACATGTGCAGAACCCATATCTGTCTTCAACCCCGAGTCCTGCACTCCCTCCTTACACCGTCTCCAGTGGTAGCCCATCATGTATGTAATTCACTCTAAAATGGAGAAACTCGAGCTATTGGAGTTCTAAACAATGAGCCCTCACACATCTTCTCATTTTGAAGGATTATTAACTACACCCCACAATTGTCAGAGGCTGATGTGGAAGCAGCTATTAAGAAAGCCTTTCAAGTCTGGAGTGACGTATCACCCCTGAGCTTCAGCAAGGCCTCGCAGGGAGAAGCAGACATCAACATTGCCTTTGTCCAAGGAGGTGGGCTCGAAGCAGTCACGCTCAATTTTGCTTTCTCTGGCTGAAGTGAGACTTGGCAACGTCCTAACACAAATTGTTTTATTTCAGCTCATGGTGACAACTCTCCGTTTGATGGGCCCAATGGAATCCTTGCCCATGCCTTCCAGCCAGGCCAAGGTATTGGAGGAGATGCTCATTTTGATGCAGAAGAAACATGGACCAAAACCTCTGAAAGTACGTTAACTAAGGTCAGGTCAACATGTGGCTTCTGAATAAACATTTTCCCTTCACAATACACATCACACACCACACACACACACACCACACACACACACACTCACACACACACACACACATCCAAGTTATTATAACACTTCAAACTCACACAAACTGACCATTTAAAAATTTTGCTATCTCAAGATACTAAGTCAATTTAGGTTTTAAAAAAATCCTGACTCTAATTACGGATCGTTTCTTAGGGCAGAAATCAGAAAGCTACAGATCATAGGCCCTGTTTGTGGAAACTCCGTGTTGACGGGACAGGGCCACACTTGTTTGCCCACGTGTCATCTGTGGCTGCTTTCCTGCTGCCAGGGCAGAGCTGAGTGGCTGCCACAGAGGCCGCATGGCTCACAAAACCTAAAACACTCATTACCTGGGCCTTTACCAAACAAGTTCGCTGACCGCTACTCTAGGGTGTATCTTTCTCTTGGTATTCTGAAATTTAATGATGTTTGTAAAAGGTCCTATTTTTGGAAACCCAGAAATATTTGGGTTCATTTAGAATACTGTCCTACTTAGTGAAGAACAGCCATCTTCTTTTTCATCTAGTTACTGGGTCTTCACCGACCTCCTTTTCTTTTAATATATATTTTATTGATTTTTTACAGAGAGGAAGGGAGAGGGATAGAGAGTTTGAAACATCGATGAGAGAGAAACATCGATCAGCTGCCTCCTGCATACTCCCTACTGGGTATGTGCCTGCAACCAAGGTACATGCCCTTGACCGGAATCGAACCTGGGACCCTTGAGTCTGCAGGCCGGCGCTCTATCCACTGAGTCAAACTAGTTAGGGCTCACCGACCTCCTTTTCAATGGTATGTTTCTACATAACAGACCACCCTGTTCAGGAGAAGGCTCAGAATAAAAAGAGGTGGGACTCTTGAGGAGAAGGACAGGTACGTGTGGTCCATATGACACTTCACAAGGCCCTGGGGTAACAAACAATATGTCACAGAGCACTTTAGAAAATAATAGAAAGGGAACCTTTTACCTTCTCTCAGGCCTTGTTCCTCTCACCATTTCCTCCCCACGTAGGCTGTAAGGTTATTCTACTTGAGTCCCTGTGTTAGGAGCTATGTGTACCCACAGATAAATTACAGTCTCAACCACTGTGCATTCCTATTGGCCAACCTGCTAGGTCAGATGGTCATTACCTCTCGCTGGAATTAAATGATCCAGGTTCCCACCTGGACTGTTCACCTCCAATCTCTGCTCCCTCTGACTTTTCCCAACGCTGCAGCAAGGTTTGTCTTTGAAAAGTCTATCTGGGATTTCATGAGTCTCTTGCTTAACACTTTCAGTGCTTACGTCATATGGACCAAATAACGTCCAAACACTTTCACTTGGCATTGAAGGCTCTTGGCGACTTTCCAGCCTCATCTTTCTTGGCTTCTCATAGTTCACATGCAGCGGCCACATTGTGCGTTGACTGTTCCTAAATCACACCATGTACTTTCCAACTTCCCTGTACTAGCTCCTGTTGCTTCCTCTTCCTAAAATGCCTTTCCCCACACCCCAAGCCCTGCCTTTCAACATCTCTCTCTTCCCAGGCTGTGTCCAATGCCACCCGGTCTTATCTTTCATCAGGAAATGAGGCCTCCTCATGAGAACACCTACTGACAGCCTTTCTATCTCCTCCACCTGCTGTCATTACTCTATGCATTCATCTTTTTTTCATACATTTCCCCTTCCAGACTGTGCACGGTGATAAATCCCACCGAGCCTCTGTCACTCAAAGGTGCTCTTTGTAATGCACTCATAAATGAAAAGAAAAAGATATAATGATCAAGAAAGCAAGTCTTGGAGCATGGGGAGAATGAGGCTACTTATCAATAGGAAGTTGAACATTGTGGTAAGAGCACAAGTCTTGCCATCATACCTGGGTTTAACCCCAGCTCTATCACTTATTGGTTACAAGACTAACAACAAGATATTCAAAATCTGTGTGCTTCAGTTCCTTACTGTAAAAATATTTTTAACCATACTTGACAAAAATGCTGTGAGGATGAAATAGTATTACACTTCCTAGCATAAAGGGAGTGCTCCCAGCTCTGATTTACAATGTAGACATGTGAGAAACTGTACAGTGTGCCGTGAGATGGCACGTAGACTGGCTGGAGGGAGGGGTTCACATCGGAAGCCAAACCCCCAGATGTCTGCTGGAGCCACATGGAGAGGTCTTGGACTTGGCAAATGAACTTGAGCTTTATTTGATTAAAAAAGTATGAGCCTTGGAATTTTTAAGTTTCTAGTTGTGAATGGCTCTGTGCTTGTGAAGTTAAAAGTTGAGGGAATGGAGCAATAAGAGGCAGGGTTTGTCTCTTTCTGGTGGAGAATTCTGGAAGCTGTTTGGAGAGCTTGGAACAGGGAAGAGCTGGTGCTGGGCTCTGGGTGAGCAGTGAGTCAGCTCAGTGCCTGAGGCTACTCCGCTGCCTGGCAGGCTTCTAGCTAACTGCCTGTTTCCTGAGACCCTGCTAATGGGCCTAAGGGCCTGGGAGACTGAAAGGGGTGCACAGGAAGAGAGGGCTTCTGAGGGTCATGAGACCTGTGAGGGCTCTGCTAACATCTCCCTAAGCCTCAGGGCCACATCCATGAAACATGGGAATCACAATAAAGGCAGGTTTATTTTATTCTAAAATTTGATGTGAAGCTCACAGTCACCTAATCTGAATCCTGATTCCTTCTAATCTTCATTTCCCTGGAGAGAAAAAGAAAGTGACAGGCGTGAAAGGCTATTTCTCCAGACAGTTTTGGCTCAGTAGCTGCATTCCTTGAGATCATCCTTCCACCACCCTTGGGTATACCGAGCCACTCACCACACATGCTTGCATTTCAGATTACAACTTGTTTCTTGTTGCTGCCCACGAATTTGGCCATTCCTTGGGGCTCTCTCACTCTTCTGACCCCGGTGCCCTGATGTATCCCAACTACGCCTTCAGCGAAACCAGCACCTACTTGCTCCCTCAAGATGACATCAATGGCATTCAGGCCATCTATGGTAAGGTCATCTGAAGAACATTGCAGAACGTAGTAAAACCTGGGCATTCAAGGATATTCATTGCAGTCCCTGTTCATGGTGGTAGAACTTGGAGAGCACCTGGGAGTCTATTAGGAGGAGAATGCACAGGTGAAATGTGCTGGATGCATGCCATAGAGCATGTACAGCAGCGAGAAGCACTGAATTACATGTACGTGTGGCAACAACAGGGATGGGTCTTTAAAACACTGCATTTCATGGGAAAGAAACAGAATGATACATCATACAGAGTACAAATTAAACTGCACAATATACGAATCTATGTAAATTGAAGATATGTGTGTGTGTGTGTGTGTGTGTGTGTGTGTGTGTGTGTGTGTGTGTATCTTAAGATTGTTGTTTGTGGGGGAGAGAGGGTGATGTGAATGGAAATGGAGAGAAACGTTTTTTAAAGTCATGACTGAAACTTCAGGGAGGGATATAGAAGCCTTTGGCCCTGTTATAAAAGTATTATCTGGGTAAGACAATTGCATCTCTCCTCCCTCCTGCCCCCTAGTGGCTGTGACTAAAAAGTGTTGAAGGAAATGGAATGGAGAGTGAAGTGGCATGAAACTGGGGGGAGCATTCTGTTCTCTCTGGTGGGATAGAATTACAAAACCAAGCCTGCCAGGGCACCACAACTAGGGAATTTTTATCATCATAGTAGCAGTTTTAGGAATGATGAGACCTACTCTAACTGCCTTCCCTCCCCAACTCCTTTTCCCCTGAAAACACCTGCTTCCTTTGCTCACCAAAGTTTTAAGTTCTCTTAACTATTAATATAGCCCTTCAATCAACAATGAAAAAACACTTCTAAGTGCAAATAGTTATAGAAAATCATATTGCTAAAATTTGACTTAGATCTATACTGTGGGGTAAAAGTCTGGTATCAGTTCCTTTCTGAAGGTGGATTTTGGAGGAGTGGGAATTGGATACTAAGTGACCCAAAAAATGCAGAAAGAGGGAGCAAAAAGGAGGAGAAGGGTGTGATTAGGATTTTAAGTGGAGCATAAAATTCAAATTTATTAACTGCAAAATTTAACCTGGAACTATCTCTGAAAATTACCATGACTCTTATTTTTTAAAAAATTTTAAGAGGGACAAATGTACAGTTACATTGATGCCTTGTGTGATTGTCTGGCAGTGTTCCTCTTCGTGTGAAGATGCTTCATCGCCCTGAAAAGTGCTGAAATACCAAAAAAAAAATCACACTGGGCTTGCACTTACAAAAAGCCTTTTATTTTTCAGGACCTTCAGACAACCCTATCCAACCAACGGGACCAAGCACACCCACCGCCTGTGACCCCCGCCTGACATTTGATGCTATCACCACACTCCGTGGAGAAATACTGTTCTTTAAAGACAAGTATAAGATTGAACTGTTCCTTCCTTTGGCTTACTTTACTGGCATAACTTAAAACTATGTTTTAATTAAGTCACATATTACATATTATTCAGCTTTCCTTTGAATTCTACACATATGTGCCTCATTGGAATTTCTAGTGGTTTCTGGGCAACTCGAAACATCCAGGAAAAGAAAACTAAAATATCTATGAATATTCAGGTGTTTGTGGTGATGTAAATAGACATGGACTCTAGCTAACTTGGGAACTCCATAGCTAGGTTTACACAACACCAACACATTATTCAATTCACCCAAATTCAATCAAGTAAATGGAAATTATCACTTAAGCTGTAGGGTGAATATCCAAAAGATTGAATTTTTCTATTTACCATTGTCTATTTTGTGATTATGTAATCACAGGCTAAGTATTTGTATTGCTTTTGCTAAACACTCTAAATATTCTCACCATTTCTGTAAGAACAATAATGAAAGAGACTAAAATAAGACTTGTCAATGAGTGAGGAGGGGACAGTGCAAAAATGTAATCAAATAAGGTCACTCTTATGACCTCCTCTGGAACTGTAAAGTACATACCAGATGAACAATATTGGTCACTGTGCTAGAAACTTTGCTTTTCTTATATTGTCATAACCTCCCAGCAATCTTATGAGGACCCATACTAACCCAAGACTCACAGAAGCTTCCTACGTAGACTATAGTTGTGTTCTCTCCCTTGTGCTCCATTAGATACTTCTGGAGAAGGCACCCTCAGCTACGAAGAGTTGAACTCAATTTTATTTCCCTATTCTGGCCATCCCTGCCAACTGGTATACAGGCTGCTTATGAGGATTCTGACAGGGACCTAGTTTTCCTATTTAAAGGTAACTGCCGAGGGTTTCATTTTATTTTAGTTCTGCCTGAAGGGAGGGGAAAAGGATTTTTTTGTGACCCCTCCCAGGTTCAGGGGAGGTGAGCCAGTGAGAGTGTTATGCTGGCCAGGCTTCGTCTAGAGACCTGTGTTGGTCCCATCTCTGCCACTAACTGCTGTGTAAACTTGAGCAGGTTGTATCCCCCTCCAGCCTCAGTTTTCTCATCTACAAAGTGAGAAAAACTTTAGTGTTCCTCCACCCTCAAGTTTCCCCAAGGCGGTAATTTAGTTTCTGGATAGAAGTCATGTAAAATAAGACATCCAATTGTGAGATGTCAAGCTGAGAAGTTGGAATTTTTTTTTTTCCTCCTGCATGCCCCCTACTGGGGATCGAGCCCACAACCTAGAGCAGTGATGGCGAACCTTTTGAGCTCAGCGTGTCAGCATTTTGAAAAACCCTAACTTAACTCTGGTGCCGTGTCACATATAGAAATTTTTTGATATTTGCAACCATAGTAAAACAAAGACTTATATTTTTGATATTTATTTTATATATTTAAATGCCATTTAACAAAGAAAAATCAACCAAAAAAATGAGTTCGTGTGTCACCTCTGACACGCGTGTCATAGGTTCGCCATCACTGACCTAGAGCATGTGCCCTGACTGGAAATCAAACCATGACCTCCTGGTTCATATTTTGATGCTCAACCACTGAGCCACACCGGCCAGGTGGGAAGTTGGAATTTTTAAATAGGAGCTGGAGTACCACTGAGGTCATTATAGCCCAATGAACTTCACTTTATCACCTTTATTTTTTAAAGACTCTGTCCCATTTTCATTTCTATGATAAATGTATGCAATGAATAACAACTGATACACATTATTTTGTAGGAAAGGAAGAATTTTATCTCACATATAAACTGAATCATTTGCAGGCAACCAGTACTGGGCTCTAAATGGCTATGACATTCAGCAAGGTTATCCCAAGGATATATCAAATTACGGGTTCCCAAGCAATGTTCAAGCAATTGATGCAGCTGTTTCCTACAGGACAAAAACATACTTCTTTGTGAATAACCAGTTCTGGAGGTAAGGTCAACTATTCGTTCAACTAAAGATTGAAATCTATGTTTATTGACCCTGTCTACAAACCACTAACAATCAGGCATCTGAAAACTTTAAAAACCTAGCTGGTCTTTGGTAGCCATTCTTTTTCATATGATGATTAATGTTGCTACATCTTTTGAAAATTTTTTGCTAGCTGGTCTTTGATAGCCATTCTTTTTCATACAATGATTGATGTTGCTATATCTTTTGAAAATGTTTTGTTTACTATTGATTTCAGAGAAGGAGGGAGAGGGAGAGAGAGATAGAAACATCAATGATGAGAGAGAATCATTGATCGACTGCCTCCTGCATGCCCCCTACTGGGGATTGAACCCACAAAGCAGGCATGTGCCCTTGACTGGAATCAAACCCAGGAACCTTCAGTCCGCAGGCCGACGTTCTACCCACTAAGCCAACCGGCTAGGGTGAAATTTTTATTTTTCTATAAAATTAAAATGCCTGCACAATGGTATTGAAGATTTTATGTCATGAGCAAATCTTAATAAAGCACTAGGATGGGCTGCAAAAAGTTAGGTTAACTCTCATTTATGAGTCTAATGGCTAGGGTGAAATTTTTATTTTTCTATAAAATTAAAATGCCTGCACAATGGTATTGAAGATTTTATGTCATGAGCAAATCTTAATAAAGCACTAGGATGGGCTGCAAAAAGTTAGGTTAACTCTCATTTATGAGTTAAAGTCTAACATTCTTAAGCAAGTGCTATCCAGACAGCCTACAAAATCTGGTGCCCAAGTTAGACTTATTATTTACATTTATTCAGAGAGAGAGGGAGAGATTATGTATCAGTTAACCAAAAGCCTTACAAAATGTAGCTCTTCTTTTTAAAAATAACACTGCACCAGTAATCAAAAACCTATTTTAGTAATAATGATACCCATATATTTTATAAATGGGTACAAATTTTAAAAGTTACCCATTCTTAGTCCCAGTAAAAAGGACATATGCAATTTAAATAAAACTATTATACTTATATACTGTATTGGTCTTAAAACACGGGACTTTTTTCTCATCAGATATGATAATGAAAGACAATCCATGGAACCAGGTTATCCCAAAAGCATAGCAAGTACCTTTCAAGGAATAGACAGTAGAGTTGATGCAGTTTTCCAGGAGAATGGTAAGTAGAAAAAGAAAACTAATTTGTTTCAATATTTTAAGTGGCATATTTGCATTTGAATGTTATGGGATAGGAGTGGAGTATTTTTAATTGAGAACATCCGAAATCTTACTTCCACAGGCTAATTCAAAACTTTATCTTTTTTTAAATAGATTTCTTCCTTTTCTTCAGTGGACCAAGATATTATGCATTTAATCTTAATGGTCGTAGAGTCACTAGGGTTGACAGAAGCATTCGATGGCTCAATTGTAGATAAAGTTGAAGCAAAATCAAATGTGTTTGTATCCATTTTCTGAATATGAAAGGGAAGTCTAATTTGCATATCCATGGTGTGTCCTATTATACTTTTCTCAATAGTAAATAATGCTGTTTGGTATCACTCTATTCCTTGGACTTGTCTTCTGTGAAAATATGTTTATGTATTCAGCTGTTTGCAGATTCTGATTTAGTTCCTTCATATTCCATCTCAGGTTAGTGAACCCATCTCGAGAGAAAAGGGTTAAGACCTCTTTGTCACCCAGAAGATAAGCAACTATTTCATCACTTGCTTATCTGACTTGTAAATGCATATATATTCCTAAATCTCTTTAAACATGTCTTAAGTGTACTGCTACATGCAATTTAGCACTGGGTTTTGGCTAGACAGTACCCCTTGCTTCTATTGAAAATGTGGTGCTATTTTCCAATCTTGGAAATAAATATTGTTGATACATGTGGGTTGAATTGTGTCCCCCCCACCCCCTCCCCAAAAAAATACATGTTTAAGTCCAAACCCTAGGTATCTATGAATGTACCTTATTTGGAATTAGCCTTTGCAAATGTAATGACTTAAGATGAGTTTATACTGGACTAGGTGTCCTTATGAGAAGAGGAGAGACATAAATACACAGAGGAGAAGGCGTGTGAAGATAGAGGTGAGATTGGAGCAATGCATGTACATGCCAGGAACTGCCAGAATCCACCAGAAGCTAGAAAGAGGCAAGGAAGGATCCTCTTTAGAGCCTTCGGAGAGAACATGACCCCGCCCCCAACACCTTGATTTTAGACCTCTAGCCTCTAGAACTCTGATAGAATACACTTCTGTTGTTTTAAGCTACCAAGTCTTGGTACTTTGTTATGGTAGCCCTAGGAAGCTTATACAGTATACCTGCACTTAAGGAAATGAATCAGCAGATAATGACAAAGTTGAACCCCCAGAAAGGACTATTGGCATCTTCGGGGGAACGAGGGGTGGCAGCAAAAGGTACCACTTCATCTCCTGCTTCCTCCCACTCTCTCCTTCTACAGTCCAAGCAAATGGGCTCATTGAAACTGTAGCTCTTTATTTCTTTTATTCCTGGTATACTCAGGAGGACACCCTCTACAGATAATTGGGGTTTACTGTACAAACAATGCTGAGCACAAAATTCAATAAATCTCATTAAATTGAGCTTAAATTTGCTAGTGGCTCTTTCCAGCAGCCACACAAGCAGACCGTCCTATTTTAACACCTGTGAGACCATAGTGTCTAGTCTAGACATCAAAATCATGTACATTTGCAGATCTTAGAATGCAATGTACCTTATTACACAATAAATATGTGAATTATAAATATATTTATCACTAGCACATCCTATTTTCTTTTTCTATTAAAGTTTTTAAATTCCACAGTAATTATTATTTAGTACTAGAAGCCTGGTGCACAGATTCATGCACCGATGGGTTCCCTCGGCGTGGCCTGCGGGGATCAGGTCGAAACCAGCAGTCCAACGCCACCTCCCACTCCTGCCTGCTGCTCCTGCTCATCCTGGCCCTGCTGCGCCTGCCGCCACCACTCAGTAGGCTCACTGCCATTCCGCTGCAGTCTCCAGGCTGCGATGGCCAGCCATGAGGCCTGCATCTGGTGCCCATCAGTCAGCTAAACATTGCTCCCACTGTGGGAGCACACTGACCACCAGGGGGCAGCTCCTGCACTGAGCATCTGCCCCCTTGTGGTCAGTGCATGTCATAGCAACTGGTCATTCAGTCGTTTGGTCACTTAGGCTTTTATATATGTGTAGATAATTTAGCACCTTATTCTAATTTTAAAATTATCTATTAAATGAATTCAAAATAAATATTTTCAACAACTGACTTGTAATCTACTATAATTTCTTAGCTACCACCACATAGTTAATCTAAAGTATAAAAATAGCAAATTTTGATATACTGTTTACAGCCACTTATTCCCTTCTCACAATTATATTAAGCTTTTAGATATTGCTTCACAGGTTATGGAATCTATAATAATAAAAGGGTAATATGCTAATTAGACCAAACATCTTCCAGACATCACTCCAGATGTCCTTCCTGACCAAGCTGGGGCTGGAGGGAAGCCAGCCCGGGTCCCGGGTGATTGCCAGTGGCCGGAGGAGGGAAGCCCGGTTCCCGGGTGCCGGAGGGAAGCCAGTGCCGGCAGCCAGGGGAAGGAAGGTCTACTCTTGCACAAAATTTCATGCATCAGGCCTCTAGTATTTTATAAATGCTCAATGCCCTCAAAAAAATTCTTAAAATATGTCAGCACATTATTCTCAATTTATTTTACAAAATGAGAAAACACAGACTAGCATCTATACTAATAAAAGGGTAATATGCTAATTAGACCAGACGTCTTCCAGACATCCTTCCGGACAAAGCCACAGTAGCGGGGGCCAAGGCAGAGGCAATTAGGGGTGATCAGGCTGGCAGGGGAGAGCAGTTAGGAGTGATCAGGCTGGCAGGGAAGAGCAGTTAGGGGCGATCAGGCTGGCAGGGGAGAGAAGTTAGGGGTGATCAGTTCAGCAGGGGAGAGCAGTTAGGGGCAATCAGGCAGGCAGGCAGAGTGGTTAGGGGCAATCAGGCAGGCAGGCAGATGAACGGTTAGGAGCCAGCGGTCCCAGATTGTGAGAAGGATGTCTGACTGCCGGTTTAGGCCCGATCCCTGAGGACATCCCCCGAGGGGTCCCGGATTGGAGAGGGTGCAGGCAGGGTTGAGGGCAACTCCCCCTACATGCACAAATTTCATGCACAGGGCCTCTAATCTATCTACACTAATAAAAGAGAAACATGGTAATTAGCCGTACCTCTGCTACCCTTCCCATTGGCTAATCAGGGCGATATGCAAATTAACTGCCAGCCAAGATGGCGGCCGGCTGCCAGGCAGCTTGAGGCTATCAGGAGGCTTCCTTGCTTCAGTGATGGAGGACTCCAACATTCCCCACCTGCCGCTGCCGGCCTCTGAGCTTGCAGTTTGAAACATTGTTACAAATATAGAAGCTAAACAAAACCCCAGAAACCTGTTTTCAGTTAGCCAGGATCTCAGAGCTGGAGTTGAAATAGTGTATCAATTATAGAACCCAAACAAACCAGATACCTGCTTTCAGCAGCCGAGGCCTAAGAGTTGGAGCCAAGCCTCAGAGCTAAAGCTGGCCCAGAAAAAAAAAAAAAAGAAAGAAAAAAAGGAGCGGTTGGGAGCTTTAGTCACC